TTTTTTTTTTCAGTGATCGTACATTTTGAATAACGTGTAGCCTCTGTGATGCAAACTTTTCATTTTTCTTTTATAGGTAGACTCAAGGATAGCCGTTCTTTAGGGGTAATAATTATGGCAATTGCGCAACAGATAACGAAGAAGAGAAAAGCAGTGCAAGATGGTGTATTTAAGGCTGAACTAAATAATTTCTTAATGAAAGAGCTTGCTGAAGATGGATATTCAGGTGTCGAAGTACGTCGTACACCAGCTCGAGCTGAGGTAATTTTTGTTTTAGGTTACGCTAAAGCGGATGTGCACGCAATTATTTTTCGGTGAGGGCTTTGATTGGGTATCCTGCTCACAAATGTATTTTTTTTGCTATGTAATCAAGTAAATTATGGAAGAGTATTCTGGATCTATTGGGAATGTAGGAGTAGGGACGGTCGTCGTTCTATTTCTGATATGTTACGTATTTAACATTCTGACTTCTTTGTAGAATCAAATTTAGTAAGCTTTTCGTAAGGGAGGATTGAAGAAGCTGGCCTTGAGTAAATTTGAGTTCAGATGGGAATTGAAAGGGTATTTGAGAGTTGTTTTGTTCTTTCTAGTCAATTATTCCACTATACCTGTAACAGTTACCGGATGTACGTTGTATTACGTTATATTCTTATTACTTGATAAATATCTTGGCAGTAGTGTTTCTGAATGTAGGTTATTATTATGGCAACGCGTACTCAAAACGTATTAGGCGAACGTGGCAGGCGCATTCGAGAACTCACATCTGTTGTACAAAAAAGATTTGGTTTTACGGAGGGATCAGTAGAGGCAAGTGGCTCTTTAATTTTGTAAGATTATTCCACTTTACGTTCAATTTTTAACAGTTTAAGTGAGTCTGCTGTCTACAATGTTTTAATTATCTTTTGTCATTGTATGAGGTTGTGTTTATTTGTTGGCACGTCGTTTTTCATTTTTTTCAGCTATGTTTCAGATTTTTTTATCAGGTAATTTTTATTTTGAAGACTTTACTTGAATTAAATGTGCACTGTTTAGTTGTATTTGGCTTAGGCTGCAAACTTCTACTGAAGTGTGATGTAATTAGCTTTAATACGTACAAAGAGCTAAAGATTTTGCATGGTACAGTAACTTAGCAGTCGTTGTTGGTTAACTGAAATTATCTTTTAGTTATATGCTGAGAAGGTTTCTAATCGTGGACTCTGTGCTGTTGCACAGTGCGAGTTATTGCGTTATAGACTGGTTGAGGGACTCGCTGTTCGCCGCGCTTGTTATGGTGTTTTAAGGATGACTATGGAATCTGGCGCACAGGGTTGCGAGGTAAAAAAATCTTTGTTTTTCGTGTAATAGAAAGTTGTTTATGAGGTTAGTAGGAGGACTGGAGTCATCAGCTTAAAAAGGGCATAGTAATATATTTTACATTTAGGCTCAAATGTCGTCAAATCTTAATTGAAAGTTTGCTGCAGATGGATATTTATTTTCGTTTATTGTGTTGTTAAAAAAAACGAGTACGCACGTGCGTAGAGAGAGGCTTTAAAAACTAGTCGTTACTCTCATACCGAAAAGTTTTTTAAAACGTTCTACTTGATCTGACAATCAGCGAACGTCTTTATCACCATTCAGGGACTTATCTTGGCATTCCGTATATTACTTGTTTCATTTTTAAGTTTTAGTTCGGTCTACTAGTTTACAGGTAATTGTTTCTGGGAAGCTCCGTGGTCAACGAGCTAAATCTATGAAATTTGTTGATGGGCTGATGATTCATTCTGGACAGCCTGTGAATGACTATATTCAACAAGCTGTGCGGCACGTCCAGCTTCGGCAAGGTTGGTTGTGACTTGTGACTTTTTTGTGAGAACTTTTTCGCCAGTCAGTTACTCGGTTCTTTAGGGTTTTTAATACTTGTTGTCTTATCTGTAATCTGTCGCATTACAGGTGTGTTGGGTATTAAAGTCAAAATAATGCTTCCACACGATCCTAAAGGACAGATGGGGCCAAGGTTCCCCTTGCCAGACCAAATTCACATTCAGGAACCGAATGATCTGCCCAATCCGACGCAGCCATTTTCTGAGCAAAAACAGGAGAAAACTTTGCCTTTAGTTCCTCCAGTTACGCAAATACCGGCCTATTAAATGATTTGTAAACTGAATGGTTTGTTGTTTGGGAGTTTAGTCCTATGAAAAATAAATTGTTTGTTATGTTTTTGTGCCCATCTTGTGGTCTATCGGTAGCTTTTGAGCCAGTGAAGTCACGTCGGGATTATAAAAGTCGGACCGGGTTGGAAGTTTGTCGTTTATTTTGTTCTCCTCTGGCTGGATGACAGAGCTAGGGCAGTTTGCCCGTGCTGTTTGGTTAAAGAACTTTTTGGAGAGGCAGGAGTCGGAGGAGGGCGCTTTTCTCGTTATGGAATTGCTACGGTTGGTGAGGCTGGAGTTATGTTCGTCGTACTGATTGGCTTTTATATTTTGCGAGGGTGAGGTGAGGGTTGGCGGCTTATTTTTTTATACAAGTGTCATTTGGAGGGGTAGTATGTAAGATTTACTTCTCAAAACTATCACAAGGCAATATGTAGTGCAAAAAAAGTAATAGGTCGTAACGCATATGAGATCATTATTTGAAAGTATCACTTGTTGTCTTCTGACGCGTTTCTTTGCGCCACCTGCTCCTGCGATTCTGGAACCATATGCGAATCTGATATTCGGTTAGGCCTAATTTCTGGGCTAGCAGCTCTCTGTCTGAAGTTTGGTTAATACTCATACAGGGTCTAGTTTCATAGAGGTGTTGAGGGTTGGTTTTGTGAATTTATATGCTCAAAGTGCTATTTAAAAATAATTTAGTACTGGGAAGTAATATCATCTTGCAAAGAGAACGAATAAGAAAGTTGGGAGTGCATATAATATTGAATTGGTAGTGTGCTGTCTAGTTGCTATGGTGTGCAAATAATTTTCATTGTGACACGAAAAATTAAGAGGAGAAGGAATGCAAAAATTTTAGAACGTACTGGTTCCTACAACATACTGTTGGACTTTGAAGGCTTTCTCGAGAGCTTGCGTTTGGTTACTGCAGTACACTGTCCTTTGTTTCCTTTTGGAAACATAATGGGTCTCTCGAACCGTTTTCAGAGATTTTTTCCATTCGTAATTTAGTTTGTCTTCACAGCTTGAATTTCTTAGCAACTGATCGACGGAAAAATTAGCTAGATTTTTGAATTCAGGTTTCAAAGGAGTGTTCTGAGAAGTTACAGGTGTAAAGCAGGAGTCTGGTGATAACTTTAAACTTCCACTATGTGTTTTGCACAGTGAAGAACTGGGATTTTCTTCCAAAGCGTGTGGGGTTATTGTCGCCTGTGGAAGCATAGCGGAAGGGAGAGTAGAAAGAGATGAAGGGTACGTCGGCGTAAAAGGATCACAATTTTGTAAAATTGGGAACTTCAAAATTCCGAGGTCTTTTAAGACCAGTGACTTTAGCAAAGCTGCCTCTTGATTTTGAATTTCCAAAGCCGAAGTAATTTCAGGAGCTTCAAGCAACGGTATCCGAAACTCCTCATTAAGCGTTCGAGGTCTTTTTGCATATACCGAATTTGACCAGACGGTTGCCGTCGGGTGATAAATTAATCCGGTGCCGTCCATCGATAAAATAAATCTGAATAGGTTCTGTTGCTAATCTTCATCAGAAATGACGATGCTCAATAGCGATCAGGAACATAATAAAAAGCGTGGAAACCTACACATTTAATCAGCAAACTTACTTAAGAGGTACGTTCAAAAAGAAGAATTTCAAACTGAGAATACTTTTTGACCATATCTCAATTTCCACAGATTAACAGAAAGGCTTTGTATTCGACCAGAGCAAAAGATTAGAAAAAGTGGTTAGCTTTAATGATCTTTTTGAACCCTTAATTGATCGGGTAATGAATCATTCTTTGCACTTAACAGAGCTGTCCTTCATCTTTGCCAATATAATTACAATTGTTTAATGTTCAGCAAATCAAAGTTATTATTATCGCAACAAAGCACGAAGTCACTCACATTTCAAAACTCTCACAGCAAGAGAAAATCCTCTAGAAATGGTACTACAATTTATGTAGATACGGTATGAAAAACACAATTAAACAATTAATTAAATTCCAGCGAGAAATTTGGTTTTATTGTGATGTAGTCGTCCGTTACGGTAGACGGATACATGTCGTGGAACTGCCACCATTAAGATAAGACTTTGAAGAGCCATTCTTCAGCAAAACAGCAAACTTTTTAGTCAAAATATTAGTTCAAGCAAAAACCAAAAAAAAAACTACGATCCCCTCACCTAAGCAAATTTTTTTTTTGTTCATTGAAATGTCTTGATTGCAAGAATCAGAAGACAGTATTGCTGCAATTATCATCGCTAATCATTACCATTCACCAGACAATCAATCAACCGAATAGAGCATCTGATTATATAAAATAAAGCTGGAATAAAAAAACAACCAAAAGAAAATAAATAAAAAAAAAGAATTGAAAAATTTAAAAATTTATCGTCTTCTCAAAAAATACTGCTCTTAGGGAAAAAAAGACAATACTAAAAACAATTAGCATTTACAGATGTCAACAGAAGTTTCCAATTTTATTTTTTATTTTTTTGCATAAAATTAGTACTTTATGGAATTGGTTTAACGAGGAGGCAGAGGTGGAGCAAAAAAAAAATAAATAAATAAATAATAATGAAAATAAAAATGCCAAGAACGAAAGAAACAACAACATAAAACATTAGGATGAAAACGATCAAGTTATGAAATATAAAACACGAAAAAAGAATGAATAAATTAGCAAGCGCACTGGAGAAAGTTCAAAAGCTTTAATGCTGAAGGTTAGTTTGCTGTCAACCAAAGTGTAATTTAGAAAAATGGAGCTGAAAAAAAAAATTGTCCCCATTCCCGTCCGCAGCAATTGGTGAGAAAATCCGTAAGCGGAATTAATTGGAGCTAATTGCCAGGTTATTATTAGCTGAATGCAATTCAGTTAAACGCATATCACGTTCATTTTTACATAGCTTTCTTAATTAATTCATCATGTAAATAATTCCAACGTACATAGAAAATATAAATATAAATATAAATATAAATATAAATATAAATATAATTTAAATATAAATATAAATATAAATATAAATATAAATATATAAATATAAATATAAATATAAATATAAATATAAATATAAGACTTGTATTTATATTTATACCCGTATTTATATTTGTTTATATCCATATATATTTATTTATTTATATACTTTATTTATTTATTTATTTATTTATTTATTTATTCGTTCACTCACTTATATATATATATATATATATATTTTTTTTTTTACTTATATTTATCTACAGACGCATTAAAAACGTATTTAGCAGAGCAGAAAGTTGTTGATACACTCAGCAAATTAATGCCATAACCTTTTACACCGATAAGCTTATAATTTTATCAAAATAGCAAATTGATATTGGTGAAAAAAAAATTAAGATTGGCCCTACTTAAGCGGTAATAATTAAGAGTAATTTAATGTTTGGTTCAGAGTGTAATGAATGTTTCATTGAAATTTACAGTAGATCATTAATTCAGAAAAGTTGATTAGGTCTTTTCCGGTGTCCTACTTCTCCTCTTGAATTTCCACTAATTACCAGCAAAGAATTTTAAATTGTTAAACCTTTCTTTCTTTTGACTACTTTTGTTATCCGATAAATAAGAGTTTAATTCCAATGATTGTAGTACAACATAATTATTGAAAGACCAGACAGTCAATTGTTTTTG